GAACCAGAGTCCTGGCAGGAGCTTTATTGAGCTCCCGACGGCGGCAGCTCCTCCCCTCGAAGCCCCAGTACCTGAGCGTTCTTGTTGTATTAGGTTGGTTCGGTTCTTGACTGGTTTGGTTGTTGTTCTTGTGTTCCGTTTGCTGTTACTTACCATTCCTACCAGATTCCTCTTATACCATTGACCTTCGATTAAACTGGGAGCTAGGAAGTGAGGCAGAGGGGAGTAGCTGAATTTAACCCCAGTCTCAAGGCAAATGGGGTCTGAGAATATCCCATCAATGACTCCTCCCACGGGAACCTAGAGACCTGCAGTCCAGGTAAGACCAACTGACATTCACACAGTATACAATATATTTAAACTAACACACTCTTAAATTGATTAATCTTATAACCTCACTTTAATAGGTTCAAACTATCACCCCCCCCACTTAAATAGTATACTTCCATATTTTCTTTGCATTCTCAAAATATGCAATATATTTAAACTAATAAATTCTTAATTTTAATTCTTATATAATATTATTTCATTTGTTAATAATGATAATAATTTCAAAATATCACCAATAGTTCATATATACCATCTACACTCTCTCTTCCAAATACAACATAGTTCAGTCCAATTCATCAATATTTTATCTCACCACGATTCAGTTTACATTTATATTTCTTCTTTCAATATTCTCTTCCAAAAATTTTTTTTAAAAAAATCTGATTCAGAAATCACAAAGTTACTCTTGTCAATTTTTCAGTAGATTGCATCAGTCAGTTTATCCAGGTTTGTTACTCAGTTCTTATTTCTCTCTTCACTAGAGGGTGCTGTTACTCCTCATTCATGTAGATTTTCCCCCCTCCATCAGAACTCTGATCTTTGCTTTTTCTATGTCTGACTTTAACTCAAGTCCAAATATGCTTCTCTCACCGTCTTCACTTTTGTCACTGTCTCATCTGGCTCCAATTCTATTTACTGTCCAAATCGCTCCAATGATTCTCTCTTCCATGCTTTTATTCCGTTCTCAAGCTGTTCTGAGCCGTTCTACTGCCGTTCTACTGTCGTTCTACTGCTACAGGAAATCGCCTGCTTTTCTCTCCTTATCGCCGCCTATCTTGAGCTGTTTCCAGCTCGATTCAGAGCTTTGAAGTTCTAGCTCAAACAGTTTTTAATAAAGTTTATACCATTTTAGTTGTTTTTAGATGTTATCACCGATACTGTTGTGCTGTTATATTCTCTCCCTCATTTGCGGCTGTCACAACTCAGAATCGTCCATGGACGCCGATTTCTTCTCCGATGATTCCAAGGAGTTTCTCTCGTCCGGTAGGGAGGTTGCTTGTCTCCTCACTGTCACCGAGCTTTCCCTCTCCCCTGTTGATCCCTCCAGGTTCAACTTCATCCTTTTACAGGATCTTCATCACAGAAACTCAAGCGAAGCTAGTGGAGCCACCATTCCTGCGCCTGCTCTGCTGTGACATCACCTCTGTGAAGTTTTTATTCACTTTTCTAAGTGCCTCAGAAAATGTTGAAGTTATAATCCATTGGACATGCAGTATAATTCAGGAGTTGGAACATTAATCACATACTGTGGTCTTATCCTATTATTGTGGTTTTGGCTGCCATCAACAGGACTGTTAATGATTCTGTACCAATTGTAGCTTCTGAATATTTTTCAAGGGTAGACCCATGTAGTGTGTTTCTAACCAAATAATGACCAGGGAATCAGGCATGCAGGGCCTATATAATTTACAAAATCTTCTATATTAAAAAAATGCATTGGATCTTCAATTTTGAACAAAAATGTGGTATTCATTAAAGAGAATTATTAATATAGATTTTATTACTGGCAATAGATTGAATAAAGTTGTTCTCTTTCTTAATTAAAAAGATATTATATAAAATGTTTTGTAAAATTCTACAATATAATGCCTACCTTTTCTAGTTTTGGTAGAATATAGAAAACAAATAACAATAAACAGACAAATGTTCATTTTCTTAAATGACAATATTTAAAAAAATGTGTATAAAGCATAAGTTGAGAAGAAATTGTCAAATAACTGCAGCAATAAAGGTAACCTCTTTTTGATCTTAATGAAAATTCTAATGTAATCTCATGACAGATTCTGTAAATGGACACTGTACAAATCCAACTTCCCTAACTTGCAGTTCTGGAAAACGGCTGTCCAGTGCAGATGTTTCCAAAGTCAGTCGTCGTGTTTCTGGGAAACCTCCATTTAGGAAAGCACAGTCCGCTGCTTGCCTGGAGATCTCTTTGCCCGTCACAATGGAAGGCGAGTTTCCATTTACTGTATATATTTCTGTTTTCATCTTTCAAAAAAAAATTACAATCTATTCATGAATTAACTCTAAAGCAATTAATCATGGACAGAATTAAAAATTGAAAGTCTGTGAGAAGTCCTGCTTAATGTCCAGCTGATCTAACAAACAGAATCACAGATTGCCTTGAGAGAGGAAGAGGTGGTCATAGAATATACATTTCTTTTAACTGGATAATAGCAAGACCATAACTTGTCTTGGTAAATGGCAACTTCATATATTAATCTGTCTTACTTTCCTTCAACAGAAAACAGAGAGAATTCATTCAGCCCTTCTCGAAGTTCTAGCATCTGCAGTATTGACAAAGAATCTAAGGAAACAATCACAGCTTTAAATTTCATGGAATCATTTTCACGGAAAAATGACACATCTTTGTCTCCTTGCCTCTGGGTTGGAACAGGTCTGGGTGTAGTCTTGACTCTTTCCCTTCATCTTCCCACTGTCGATGAATTAAGGCAAACAGAGCCAGTAACAGTTTCACTCAGTGGTAAGAATTTCAGATTGTTATTGTTGCTGAAATATGCCAATTAACACAAAGTGTTAGATTATGTCTTTCTGTGCTCTTGCCTTGGGGCAATTGAAACAGAAAGGAAGATCACTAGGATACCTCTGCTAACTCCGGGATTGCCTATATGTATACAACAGAGTTTGTATATGTCTGTGCATATCTACATGTGTATGTGTAAAGGGAGAGTAAGGTCATTTGAATACTTACAAAAAACTGAAAATAACACAAGCCTATTTCATGAATGAAGACAAATATACATGTCCTAAGACCTAAGATAATGTTGCAAGATCCAATTTGGATCAGTCACCAGGACCAGAGGTGCTGTATTCCAAGCTTTCAGACTTGTGCTGGAGCCCATCTTCAGGGAACTTCTCTCTAGCAGAGTGTGTGCTGTTCTGTGTGTGATATTTACAGAGCCTGTGGTATGTGGCTTTTTAGACATTGATTGGGGCATGTTAATGGCTTACTTTTAAGTCGTTAGCTGTCATTTCCTTGTGCTGCCCAGTCCTCGCCTTCTAAATACTTGAGAGGCTGGTGGTAAATCAACACTCCTGTTGACTGACGAGGGGCTGTTTCCCAGGCTTCAAACACTTCCCTGGCTGTTTTTGTGTCTGCTCATCCAACAATCTTAGTAGCTGCAGAATCAACTTCATTGTTTGCCTCATACTGCAATGAACAAGGACACACAATCAATTTTGCAGCTACTAACATTGTTGGATGAGCAGGCACAAAAACAGCCAGGCAAGTGATTGAAGCCTGAGAAACAAGCCCCTCGTCAGTCAACAGGATTGATTTAACATCAGCCTATCAAGTACTTAGAAGGCAAGGGATGGGCAGCACAAGCAAACAACAACTAACAACTTAAAAGCCAGCTATCAACACACCCCAATCAACATCTAAAAAGCCACATACAACAGGCACTATAAATACCACACACAGAACAGTTCACACTCTGCTAGAGAGAAGTTCCCTGAGGATGGGCTGCAGCATGAGTCTGAAAGCTCAGAATACCAAACCTCTGGTCCCGGTGACCGACCCAGACTGGATCCTACAAGTCTATTTCTGCAGAGTCTAGTGTAGATTTGCCTTAAAATGGGAACAGATTGTGAGGGAAGTGAACCAATAATCCATCCTCAGCAGTTTTAATGCATATCCTTTTTCTCAGGAAGAAGCAGAAAAGACCAAGAATTCCAATACTTTAGCTGACAAATTTTTATTTGAGCTAGTGTCAGTCATTGTTTTGATATTGGGGTTGTTGTTTTTTTAAAGATCCATGCCAGCATTTGGGTACCATAACCAAAGAAACTTTGATATCATTACAAATTCCTCATTTTTAACTTTTATCCAGGCCTCTTTTTTAATTAAAAGAAAATTTTGTGTAACTTTAAAAAGCTTCTTTAATGCAGCAATATATCAAAAGTAACTTAGAACATAACATTTTATGTAATGATTAAAACACAGCAGAACTCTGGCTTGAAATGCCAGGAAGAAATAAATTTGTACTAGAGAACATAACATTATTTCAACATTTTTCATCTATAAGGACTATGAGGGGAATATACTAAGAAGTTGGGGAGTAGGGATGGAATTCTTTGATCTGATTGAGTACAATATATCTACATTTAGAGGTCTGACCCTGTCTTGAAATCATAATGATATATGTTGGAATGGTATGAGCTGGGGAAAAAATTGTGTGTGTGTCTGTGTCTGTGTCTGTGTCTGTGTCTGTGTGAGAGAGAAATAGGGAAGGAGTAAGAAATTTTATAACATAGCTAATATGTACTGGAATCAGTATAAGTGGTTTAGAGATTAATAAATCCTATGAATTCTGTTTTATAGGTACAATTTTATCACTAAAGGGAGCAGTGTTAACCTTTGCTTACTTGGACTGCATGGGAACATTAATACATCCTCCCTATGAAGCATGGAGAGATCCAAACGCCACTGAGGATAGCGAAAGAACCAATAAAAGGAAAATTGTCCTTCATTCTTCATGCTCCCAGAACACAGGAGACCACCAGTTTGCCATTATCTGCTCAGAGAAACAAGCCAAAGTATTTTCATTGCCTTCCCAGATATGCCTCTATGTTTACAACATCACAGACACATTATTTTTGCGAGCAGATGCGGTGACCCTCTCTAACAGTGTTTGCTTGGCATGCTTTTGTGCCAATGGGCATATCATGATATTGAGGTACTTGATACCATTTCATGAATGTAAGCTATGTCCCTTTCTTGCCACACACAATCCTTGAGGTGAAGAAGAAAGTGGCACTCTTCGCTAATTGCTGAACAACGAAGTCTGTGAGGTGATGGTAAAGGTGGATCCCTCTGAAGGAGGATTCCAAGGAGATTCTGGTCATGATAATGTTTTAAGAAAACACACATACAATATACGCACATCAAGAGCTCCAAATTCCATGCAGTTTCTTTACTCAAATTCACAAATCACTTTAAAACATAGCTAGGACCATCCAAGTGATTTCTAGGCCTTTTGGGAGAAATTTCCTGTGTTGATCCTGCTAATTTCAACTTCTGATTGCTTACTTGTTAACTTTGGCAATTATCTTCACAGCTCAGATTATTATAGCTAGTGGTCTTCTCCCAAAGAATGGAATAGACGCCTAAGGAAAGCTTCAATCATTCATCTAATCTCTTAACCTCCCTCCAATACCCAGGCAAACATATGATCCAAACTATCAATCCCAGCTATCTACCTTAAGCAGGGTATTAACTCCACATGCATCTCTCAGGCTCAAGAAGTTGGACTATCTATGTCCTTATAGCTACAGAAGTATTTTATAGTATTTAGATTATTCTCTTAGTTGGCAGAGCCTGGCTGAGTCTGAAGTTTCTTTACTCTTTTTAGCGGCTCATAGAAATGACTTTATATGCAAGTTTAATTTACAAGTGCTAGATAATTTAACTTTGCTTTTGTACAGCATTTGGGTACAATATAATCCAGGAATTTTAACAGAGGAGGAATCCCTACCTGAAATTGCCATAGCAATTGATTGGTACATGCATTTTCTAATCTAATCTTGAGGTTTATAACTTAATGTTGATAATTGTATTGCATTTAATATGACTTATCCCAAATAATTATTCATAGATCTGCAGCCAGTCATTCTGATTATATTTAAATGCATAATTTTGTTTTGTTTGCTGGAATTACAGCTGTGACAATATGGTAGTCAATTTGTACTGCACAGAATATTGTGTTTAAACCTGTTTCTACAGAATCTACCTATTTATTTTCAGTTTACCCAGCCTCCGCTCGCTGCTAGATGTGAATTTCTTGCCTGAAACAGATACAAGGATTGCCCGGACCTTTTGTTTTACCAATGAAGGACAAGCTTTGTATCTTGGTTCTCCAACAGAAGTCCAGCGACTGAACTATAGCCAGGAAATGTTTGACAATCTGCAGGTAGATGTTGAAATATAATGACAAACATAGCTTCTGTGCGGTAAAAGTGCAATGCCAAAAAAACAAATTTGTTTCCCTGAATCCAAAGTGGGAGATGATTTGAGAGTCTGAGAATGCAGACTCTCAAATGCAGACAATACTTATGACATGATAGCTTCAGCTCTCTCTCAAAACGAAAGCTCACTGGCTGCCAGGAAGAATGAGAATCTTAGTGAAATCCTTTTGAGAATAGTGTTCTTTTTAGGCAGGATATGATCCCTAGATGATGAACTCAAATCCTCTTGTACCAAGAATTCTTCAGGGGAGAGAGAGCTTTGGATTATGAGTGAATTGGTCATTAGAAACAGTCAGATGGGTTGTGACAGGCATGGAGATTGCATGATGACTTGCCTGACTAGAGCAGGGACTGGATATCATAGATTTAAACAATGGCTAGTCCCTGGGATGAGGCAACTTTGGTACCAATGGCATTGTAAAATGTAGTTCAGCCAGACCTGGAAGCCAAATTTAGTTTGTTAATTTGCAGATTGAAATTCAGAATTCCCAAGTAATATTCTCCCAAACACTACCTGTTCTGCTAGCTGGACAGGTGAAGCTCAGGAGTTTCACTCCATGTGAAGGTAGGACTAAGGTAGGACTAAGACACATTAAGCACTGAGGAGCCTATGAGGTGCTCTTGAAGCTTGGTTGTTTTCTTGTGGACATTTCATTAGGTAACATCATCAATGCTAGAAGGGAGCTGGGTTTGCTATAGTAATATACAAGTGGTTTATCCTGTCAGTGTTGTTGGGAGTGCTCTTGGTGGTTCCTTGATTGGGGTATTGTTTACTACCTGATTGTTGGTCTAGTATTAATCTTGCTTAGCTGGTTGTTGATTGCTGGTGAAGAAGTGTTTTGGTTTTTTTGTTTCCTTTTTAGCTTTTTGATTGTCTCTTTTCAATAATATATAGATTTGTTTGAATCCTTGGGAGAAGGGCGGCATATAAATCTAATATATCTCAATCTCTGGCTGGATTGTCTAAATGTCAAGCTTCAAGGAATTCTCTAGTATTTTTGGACTTCACTTGGTCTAGAATGCTCATGAGTACCCGGTTGAAACTATGGTGAAGTCTGTCCATGTATTGTGTAATTAAGGAGTCTTCTGATCGCTAGTTGATGTTCACGGATACACTCTGCTAGTCTTCTGTCCTACATAGTGGCTGTTACAATACTTACACTCTATCTTTTAGATGATTCCTGTTTTTATTTCTGGAGCTACTGGGTCTTTCAGTTTGCTTAGGATGTTTTGGAGGGCTTTAGGTATGCTATGATGATGCCATGTAGTTATAATAGTTTATTAGATGTTTCTGAGATATTTCTGAGGTATGGCAATATTATCCTTTTCAAAACTTGTGCTGATTGTCCTGTAGTGTATTGAGTGTCAGTTACTTTTTGATAAAATTGCGTGGGTGTTCATGTTATTGGAATATATATAGATGAAGTGTGACCAACCTTTTGGCTTGCCGTAATGAATGAAGAGGTATTATCTTGGGCTGCATATAAATATATATATACCGTGTTTCCCCCAAAATACGACATGTCCTGATAATAAGGCCATGCCACATTTTTCTGGTGGGCAAAATATAAGCCCTCCCCTGCAAATAAGCCCCCTGGACAACCCCCCACCTCCAACCAGGCAGAGCGCCGCTCACCAACCTAGCAGTATCCCAAAGGTGCCAAGCCGCGGGAACCGGGGGGGGGGGCAAAGAAGATCGCGTTACTTGGTGCCTTCGGGATACCGCTAGGTTGGTGAGCAGCACTGTGCCCAGCTGAAGAGGGGAGTTGCCGGGCGGCTGCTCTCTTGCGAGCGGGCTCCCAAAGAGCCAGGCACAACAGCCACCCGGCAAACCCCCTTTCCAGCTGGGCACAGCGCCATTCACTGACCTAGGGGTATCACCAAGCTGCGTGAGCACCTGTTCACCGCCGCCCAGCTCTCGCGGCTTGGCACCTTCAAAATGCTAGTGAATGGTGCTCTGCACAGCTGGAGAAAGGAGTTGTGCAAGCGGCTGTTCCGCTCCTGCTTGCACGCCTCCCAGCTTCACGATGCTCTGGTCCAGATCTCCTTGAAGAGCCAGGGCACCTCCACCGCCGCCATCCCAGCATGGCTTTTTTGGCAGCTTCCAAACTGAGTCTTCCGGCAGTGCCCGCTCTGGGTGTATGCTCTATGGTTGTGGGCTGGCTGTTGGGAGAGCATATAACCATAGAGCGTACACCCAGAGTGGCCACTGCCAGAAGACTCGGTTTGGAAGCCGCCAAAAAAGCCATGCTGGGATGGCCGTGGCGGTGGCAGCTGCAGCGGAGGTGCCCTGGCTCTGCAGGGAGAGCTGGGCCAGGGCATCGTGAGGCTGGGAGATGCGCGAACGGGAGTGGAACAGCGCTCGCACAACCCCCCTCTCCAGCTGTGCAGAGCACTATTCACTGGCATTTCAAAGGCGCCAAACCGCGGGAGCCAGGTGGCGCCGAACAGGCGCTCATGCGGCTTGGCGATACCCCTAGGTAAGTGAATGGCGCAGTGCCTGGCTGGAAAGGGGGTTTGCCGGGTGGCTGCTTGTGAGAGTGGTCGCTTCATGGCTGTTGTGTTGCGCTGCTGCAACAGCACAATACAGCCATTCGCCCATGAGGCTGTGCCCGGCTCTTTGGGAGCCCGCTTGCAAGAGAGCAGCCGCCCGGCAACCCCAAAACAATAAACCCTCCCCTCATAATAAGGCCCAAGCCATATTTTGTGTGTAAAATGAAAATAAGACCCTGTCTTATTTTGGGGGAAACACGGTAATATTGTTAATGTATATAAATAACAAACTTTGTTTTTAAATATTTTTATTGCAATCTTGTGGGGTCACATTACTAGTTGCCTAGTGCCACATGTGGTATGGGGGTTTGGCCATGCCTGGTATATATGATCCATTTCCTTTTCTTGATGTTCAGAATTGCTGCAGTGCTTTTCTTCTAATTTAGTATTCTTACATAGCATTCTTGTGTGAGGCTACATTATTACTTTTGTCATGAAAAAAAGCTTATAACATCACCACCTTTTGGGGGAAAAAACATTGTGTAGTAATGTTCCTATAGCAGTGCTAGAAAGATGCATGAGGTGAGGGCAAGAGTCATTGTGGTTGGCAATATCCAATGGTGTGCTGGAGATGGCTCACACCGGCTTATGAAGGCCAGTTGTTAAATTCTCTGGAATTTTGTGAGCCACTTGACAGCAAAGGTATCAGAGTGGCCACAACCTAAAGGTGAGCCTTAATACCTGGCATGCCAATTAGCTGTTTTACAGTTAATGGCCGCAATGGAGTTGGCAGAGCCATTTTTTGGAACATTTTAGCAATACATCACTGGTAATCTTACTATAAATGTATAGGGCAGTGGTTCCCAACCTTGGCAACTTTAAGACTTGTGGACTTCAACTCCCAGAATTCTCCAGCCAGCTCTGCTCTGCTGGCTGGAGAATTCTGGGAGTTGAAGTCCACAAGTCTTAAAGTTGCCAAGTTTGGGAACCACTGTCCTATAACAATAAATATTTTATCTATTATTATACTTATATTTATTTCTAATTTCTAGTTCGTTAATCGTTTTTCATTGTTAATTTTCTAATCTTTGCTTTGCATCTACTCTCTAACCAGTTGTACCATATATCCCAAATTAAATAGTATTCTGTCTCTCCTTTGTCTTTAATTCCCATTGTCCACCTGTCCATCTCAGCGCAGTGTAATATTTTCTTTATTACCATTTCCTTAGAGGGTATATTTCCATTTTTCCAATTTTGAGCATATGCAGTCGGTTATTACATGTAGCATTAAGTATTGGATTGTTTTATTATATTTCCCTCTCAACATGCCTAGTAGAAATAGCTCTGGTTTTAAATCTGTTTGCTGTTTTACCATTTCCTCTA